TTCTTTTGTCATCTTTCTGTGCCTCTAATAGGCTAGATCTATTCATAGTCACTTTTAACAGGGAAGAGCATGGTATTTTCAATTTTATAATATTTTATAACTGAACCCTCTCTGGAGCTGGGGTTGTGGTTCAGTGGTAGAATGCTTGCCTAGCATGTGTGAGTTACTGGGCTCAATTCTCAGCACCACATATAAAAAAATAAAATGAAGTCCATTGACAACTAAAAATTAATTTTTAAAAAAAACCCTCTCTGGAAGTAGCTTACTGTTGAGAAGTCCAACATGCATTCAGAAAATCACTGATGAACCTAAGTTTTCTTCCTTTCAAAGATGAACAAAAATTGGTTTCTAATTGTGTTTCCACTTGCAATTGTGTCTTTACTCTCTTTTCAATAATAAGACTTTTGGGATCCTTTTTTTTTTTTTAACCCAAACTAGTTATTGAATGTTTTAATTTATCTTCCAGTTCTTCTATTCTTTAAGAATCTGTTCAGTTAGTACAAAGCCTGTTTGAAAATAGCCATGCATAAAGGCAGAGTAAACAGGCACATATGTTATCATCAGAGGCTACTTCCTCAAGTGTCCTGGTCTTGGGCAAAAGCAACTGATGTCTGACCTGATAGAGACAGTGGCATGAGTCAAGATTCTTTCCATGTCTTTTTTCTAACACTTCAGATCTGTTATTCACTTGACACCACTGAGTGATTAATGCCTTTTTCTTTTCAGATTGTAAACATTTACTGTTTAAATGCTTTTTATTACTAAGAAAGGAAACCCCATAAGCCAGTATACCTAATGCAAGTATAGACATTTTCTTTCACAGAATTATTCCATAATATGAAATAATGGAAGCAGTTGTTTTTTATTTACCTTCTCACTGTTTATTATAGATTCTCTTCTTTTGTGTTTTTTTGTTTGTTTTTTTATTAGTTGTTGATGGACATTTATTTATTTTTGTGTGGTGCAGAGAATCAAACCCACTGTTTCATACATGTAAGGCAAATGCTATAACACTGAGCCACAACCCCAGCCCAATATAGATTTTCTTAATGGGGAAGCTTCACAGTATATTTCATGGCATTTATTTGTTTAATTTTTCTCTTTGAAAAGCTGGAGGTTCTCTTCCCTATAGCATCCAGACAGCTGAAAAACAGAATTGGCTACATTCCTACTTCCAGTAAGTGATTGGTTCAGAGTACTGCTATTACTTCTTTAGAAATAAGGAAGCTATTTATGTCAGTCTATGTTTTAAAAAAGAATCTTATATAATGTAGCTATATTTTTTCATCTACATATGTTAGTGATAGAAATAATTTAAAATAGGGTCTTAAAATTTTTTGGAATAGGTTTTTAATACCAAAGAGTAAAATTTATCTCTGTGAGGTTTCTATTTAAATATTGGTATGCAAAGAAAAAGATAAATAAAAGATCATGTTGGGTAGTTTATGATTTATATAAGCAGTACTTTAGTTCACTTTTCCAAAATATAAAATGTAATTATACTTCCTGTGCCATCAAATGATGTGTGGCCAAGCTTGCTGAGGCCAAAACCCTGTGCCACACTGTTGCCTGGGATATAGAACAGTATTCGATGTGTCACGGGAGTTCAGTCAATAGTTGATGAGTGGACAGGGAAAGATATGCCCTTGTCCTCCTGTGGCTATAGCACTTGCTCACCTGCATGTTCTAAACCTTTCCATTCCACACTTGCTTCAATGGGGATTTATCGTTGGACAGTCAGAAGTGAAGGCAGGTTTACATTTCAGCAGCTTTCAGCTGAGATTCAGGATGTCATCTCGGAACCTTTTTTAGTACTTTTCTGGAGAGATTGTCCTTACAGAAGACATTTCTGTGTGTTGAGCTCCTTTCAGTATCAGATTACTAAATTCATTTTGAGTGAAGAAAGCAGTGGACCCACCTAGTCCTGATTCTTGGAGACCACCTGTTATCTTGAAGGAACATCCTCTCCTACTCATAGTAAGAATGGTTGCTTCATGAGAAGGGCCATTTATTCCCATGGAAAATTAGTTTCCCTTGCTTTTCATGCATTTTGACAGACTTCGTTTTGCCCACTTAGTGTTTTTCATTCGACAGTCTTTTATGAAGTTCTGGCTTAATAGTGCACAAGGGGACTGTGACTCCTGCCGTTAGATTGTGGTCCAGCCAGGGAACATGCACACATGCAGCAGAAATACAGCAGAGGTGACATACATGCATGGGTGTATGTGTGTATGTTCATCGCAAAAAAAAAAAAAAAAAGATGGAAGATGGTAAATTTTCCTTTTCTACATACCTTCTTTTTAAAATGAACATACATCAGACTTTTATCTGAATAGAATTTAATAAAGTATCACAAGTTACAGAACTGTATACTTGGTATTTTCAGATTATAGGATTTTACTTTTCATGCAGTTTCCTAATGTTAGAATTATGATGATTTGTATTATTTCTAACCAGTGATTTGTATCTCCTGTCACTAGCACGTGGTCAGCCGACACATCTGGCCGCAGCAATGCCATGCCTCATATTAAGACATACATGAGACCCTCTCCAGACTTCAGTAGAATTGCTTGGTTCCTTGTCACAAGGTAAATGCCATTCTGTTCTTGCTGGGAAGAATTTTTACAATGTGTTTGTAACGCCTGCTCTGAATATTGAAGGGATTTCTAAAAAGTGATCGATGAATTGATCATCATTAGTTCTCAGCCTGTTGGATCACATGAATCTTATTTAAAGGAGGCCCATGACTAATCCCTTGTAGAGTATGCGATCATGGCCTGATTGCTTGTAATTCTAGATGCTTATAAAATTTGCATAAACTTTATCTTCTATTCTTTTTTTATTGGTGCATTATGTTTATACATAATGATGGGATTTGTTGTTATATATTCACACATGCACATAATGAAGCAGTAATATTTGGCCAATATCACTCCCCTGCCTTGACCCCTCCCTCTCGTTCTCCCACTCCCTGGTCACTTAACTCTATTCTACTGATATTCCTTTGATATTCATGAGATTTTCCTTCCTCCACCTTACTTTTCCTTTTTCCTCTCTAGTTTCCTCATATAAGAAAAGATATATGACCCTTGACCTTCTGAATTTGGCCTATTTCACTTAATATAATGGTCTCTATTTCCATTTTCTACAGATGACATAATTTCACTTCTTTATGACTGAATGAAACTCTATTGTGTATATATACCACATCTTCTTTATTCATTCATCTATTGTTGGATGCCTAGCCTGGTTTTATAGTTTGGTTATTGTGAATTGTGCTGCTACAAACATAGAAATCCATGTATCACTATAGTAAGATGATTTTCATTTTTCAGCATAAATACCAAGGAATGGTGTAGCTGGGTCATATGGTGGTTCCATGCCTAATCTTTTGAAGAATCTCCATAATAATTTCTGTAGTGGTTGTACTAATTCACAATAGCACCAGCAGTGTAAACATGTGAACAAACTTTTAAACAAAAGCGTCACTTAGAAATAAAACTAGTTTGCTAGTTTATGGAAATTGGTAACAATTTCTAATGACCCAGAGAGCATGGTTGATTTAGGTCCCATGCAAGAGAAGCCTTCCTGAAGGCATTTGAAGTATCATAGCATAATGGAAAAACTTAATTTTATTGAGTTCTAAAAATAAGTACTCAAGATGCTGCAGTCATTTAGTAGCTCTGTGAACTTGGCAAATTTATTTAATCTGAGTCTGTTTTCTAGTCTTTAAAAAGGGGGAATTGATGGCTGCCTTTGGGTTACTGTGACAGTTAATGAGATGCGAGAGCTCAGTGCCCAGAATGTGACAGGCCCTCTGTCAATAGCAGCTGTGGATTATGTGTGTTTAAGCCCCCACATCTGTGATAGTGACAGGTGGGCAGGGGAATTGGGACACTTTGCTGTGGATCTTTAAAAACAGAAACTTTGCTTCTAAAGAGAGAGGTTTCCTGGATGTGAAGACCTACACTATCTGTTCCCTAGGTAGGGAACAATAGGAGGTGCCAGGGAAGCCAAGGCATAGGGTACATGTGGCTGCCCTTTGGTCAAGAGATGTCAGCCCTGGTTGTACTGAAGAATGCAAGGGTTTTGTTAACCCTGCCACCCAATTTTACTTCAAATAAGAACAGTTGGTCAAGTTATTACACATATTCTGAAATTAATGTACAAGAAATTCTTAATGACACCTAACTTTCCATAAAGTTAACCATCAAGAATATGAGGGACCTGGATATTCTAAGAAACCACATTTCATTGTCAGCTCATATATTTGTAATTGTCCTTTAAACCAAGTCTCTAAGTTGCAAGTTAAAAGAAAACTGGCTTTTGATACTGGTTCTGCCATATGGTCTATGTGTGGCCATCACCAACTGTATACTCTTAGTGATAAATTAATAGAACTAGGTGAAGTAATCTGCCCACTACCAATTATAAAATGCTGATTGGAAACAGTTTTCCAAGTAGTAGATCGTCATACACTCCATGACTCTGTTGTTTTATGTTCAGAACCTTAAATGATGTGATATTTATTTTCCTTCATTCATGTGACAGAATTTTCTAAAAGTTTGGGTTATGGGGCATAGCCCATTATATTACTGAGGCTCTTACTGAAATTAGGCTGCTTGCATTAATATTGAATTTGAAGACTACACTTCCAAGTTTGGCTAAAGTCCTCTTACTTATTAACTTAGCTATCTTCATCAAAGTGCAGTATGAGCAATATAGAGAAATACCAAATATTTGTTAGAAACTGATCTTGTTGAGCATCCTTATTTTTCTGGTTGGGAATACTGGAGCTCAGAGAGGTTAGATTAAATTAAACATATAGGAGTGACTAGAAGTGGTCTTCTCCTCCTCCTCCTCCTCCTCTTCCTCCTCCATCTTCTTCCCCTCCCTCTCCTCCATCCTCTCTTCCTCTCCCTTTTCTTTTCCTCCTTCCTATGCCTCTCCTCCTCCTCCTTCCTCTTCTCTTTCTCTCTCTCTCTCTGCACCCCCCCCACTTTTTTTTTTTTTTTTTTTGCTGTTGGATAGAGTTTATTCAAGATATAAATGGATATCTCTGTGTTCTATGTAAGAGTTCTCACTGTTGGTCTCTGAGGTTTGCTGAAGATGGAAATCCTAATGCTATAATCCTAAGGATAGGGAAGAGAGGCTATTTGGAAGTCCAGTTGTAAGATGAAAATGGAAAGGATGGGTCCAGGAAAAGTAGGGATGATTACTCTTAGGCTTCTGTATTATTCAGGATTCTCCAGAGAAACAGAAACATACATAGCCTGTTGGATTTATTTTAAGGAATTGGCTCATGTTATTGTGGAGGCTGGCAAATACAAAATCCATAGGGCAAGCTGGAAGCTTAGAGGTATTGTAAGACTTGATATAGCAATCTTGAATCTCTTTCTACTGAATTGGAAAAGTTGAGCTTAATGTCTGTTTGGAGATTGATTCTCCTCAACATGGAATAAAGAGGTGGATTCACTTCGCAGAAATTTCATTTGAATAGTTGATCCTGTTTCAAGGACATTAATAGAAATTGAGATTAAAGTAGCCATATGAAAAATCCTTATCCATAGGCAAAGTTTTAGTGTTATGGTTCAGTGGCAGTTTGTCCTTGGCCCTGGGGACACAAAGATCGAGGAGGCATGTTGTGACAGTGTACCCTTGTTGTTTGACTATGTGAGGATCATGGTGGAAGCGCCATTACAGATCATTCCTGGTTGAGGAGGAGGCCGTCAGAGCTCTTTCAAGTGGGCCTGGAAGGGGGCCTCAGAAGAGGCCAGGAGGACTGGCTGGGAGTCCAGGCAAGGACAGAATCCACAGAGATGGGAAAGGACAGGAGGCTTTTAGGGAACACCTGATTGATTCAATGAAGCTGGATAAAAGAAAAAGTTCAGATAGTTTTAGAACTGGTTTTCCAAAACCAGGGTCCTGTGCATTCTTAGAGTTAAATCACAAAGCATCTACTGTCGATTTATCACTTAATAATTATGTGTCTTATACTGTGTGAACACCTGCTTTAATATTGACTGGCTCTTACTAAATTAATTATAACTATTTGAAGTTGACCAAGCACCCTTCTGAAATGCCGATTTTCCTCATTATTCTGTGTTCAGAATCCCCCACGTACCAGACTATAAAATTCAGATGATCAGTTTGGCCTTTGGGCCCTAGCCACACCATTTCCACCTTTACTATCCAGTAATTTCCAGCACGAACTTCCAGAGCAGCCAGGCTGCCCCTTGACCCCAGAATCATCCCAACAGGAGCCTGTGTAGTTCCCTCTCCTGTCCCCATCATTGTTTCTCTGCCTCTTCAGTTTCATTGTTTCTCTGCCCATCTTCCAAGGCATGCTCTGCTCTCCTTTCTTCCTGGAGGCTCTGCCAGCATTGCTGGCCTCTCCTTCTCCAGGTCCCTAGGGTGCTTTTAGCCCTTCACAAGCCCGAGAAGGCATCACCTCTGCCTCCTCCTGCCTGTGATCTCATAGAGCAGGAGCAGCGGAGCTTTGGTGTTGTGAGACAGCACTGGGTGAGGTGACTGCGTCACCATCAAGCAGCATCTTGCCTTGAACAATTTTTCACCCTCTCTGAGCCTCAGACTCTTCATCTACACAGAAGCTGCGAGAGCAAGAGAGGCCAAGCCTGGGACTTGACCCTGGGCTTGTGAAAGTTCAATGTGATAAACTCACTGATGAAGAAGAATAGGGAAAGAATCTCAGGACAAGTGACCAGGTTACTAGTGATAATCTGGTATGAACCACTCCATGTTGACTTCTCAGCCTACACATTGCTGCTTCCAACAAATTCCTCTCTTCCAGGCAGAACTGTCACGCGAATGTGTCCCCGAAGGTTCATTTGTTAGAGATTTAATCCAAAAATGTCATAGCTTTGAGAGGCAGGACCTTTAAGAGGTGACTAGGCCACTCTCCTGAATGGATTAATGCCATTATTGCAGGAGTGGATAGTTGTCATGGGAGTGGATTTCTAAAGGAGGATGAGCTCAGGCCACTTCCTTCCTCTTCTACTCTCACCACCTACCCTCTCAGACCCCTGCTCTCAGCACAAGGTACACTGAGGCCTGTCTCTGCTGTGCGCTGCGCTCCTCACTGCAGAGCTCAGCCCAAGCTGCGCCTCTGCGCCTCTCCCCTCTTCTCCCCACAGGAGCTAATTCTGTTTTCATAAAGGCCCAGGTTACCACACACAGTGACCAAGGACTGTCCAGTTCCCTCGTCGTGACAATGCCTTTGCTGCTGCGTCTCAGGCTCACCCTCACAGTGTCCTGCCCTCACAGGCTCCTCCAGCCTCCACCAGACAATAATGAGCTCATTGGATGAGGGATCAAGTCGTCCTCTTATTACTTCTTCATAGTCAACATGGATTTCTTGAATGCTGGTGACATAATGGGCAGAGAATACATAGATGATAAAACAGTCTGCATTTCTTCAAGAAATCTAACTAGCTCTGGATACAGGTTCTATAAGCGGTGAATCACAATTTAATGGGACAGGGCCCTGTTGCCTTAAGGGTGCCAGTATAGTCCTACAAAGCTCAAGACACCGTATTCTCACTGCACCATATTTGAGGAATGAAAGATGCGTACAGTGAGATTCACTCCACAGCAGATGGTCAGGAGCCCTCCCTGTATGGGCACTGTCTATAGCACTGAAGCCGAGGGCAAGGAACCCACTCCACCAGGGCTTTGGCTTCAGGCAGAGCAAGGAAGGGTGCAAACAGCGTACACACCAATGTGAAAACTCCAGGTTAGGGCAGAACCAGGTGGGCAGTGTGTTGCAGCATGTCTGTAGGGGTCAGAGAAGATGGCCTCAGGAGCTGATGTTTAGGCTGAGGCTGAGTGACAAGAAGGAACCAGCCCTGCACAGCAAAAACACCTGGGCATAAGGACCAGCTGGGAAAGCCCTGGTTGGTGAGTGTGGAGTTTGGGATACCCCTTGTACAGGTTTGCTGATGCCAGCTAGATCACAGAGGGCTTGAAGTGGAGTGATATCATCTGATTAATGTCCTGAAAGCTAGGTCAACCTGCTAGATGGAGAGTGGATCTTGGCGGGGAAAATTCTGGACATATCCAGGCCCATTGGGAAGCCTGAACATATTCGTGTTCCCGGGGAAGAACTGGTAGATGGAGGCTGTTTTAGGAGGTTGTGTTGTGTTAGGGTCTGTAAATAAGTCAAGATGGTGCCTGGCATTTTGCCAGAGGGAGTGGTTTGTGAAGTAACGCCAGCGAGCCATTAAGTGTGGAGATTCCTTATTGGTTGACTGCTGTATCTAGTTTATGTTAATTAAGATAAGCTGTATGTAATGTATATATACCCCTCCTGTCCTACAATAAATGGCTCCCACTCCTGGTGCATCAACCTTCACAAGTTGCTCGTCACCCCCCAGTTATTTTGCTGCAGCCGGACTGCGGCAGTGTTGGTGGGGTGGGGAGGGGCTTTACAATCTGCATGGTTTAGCCTCTTGCCATTTGTGAATCATGGAGCCTCACCAAGCTCATTTCCTTAAATATGAAAGCAGGATATGAAAGCACACAAGGACTTACTGAGAGTTTGAGATCAGTTCTCCAGAGCACTTAGCTCCAGGCAGAGGTCAATGTTCAAAAATTGACACTTGTCCTTACTTAAGGAAGTGGACTTCTTAAGGCACACTCTTAACTATAAGGAAATGGAATAGAATAAACTTAGAATAAATCAAGTATCTCATCATAATCTCATAAAGTAGCACCTGCCCTAACAATGATGGGGTAGTAACACTTCACGATGGCCCCTCAACCTTCAAATTCACACAGTGGCAACAAGAATCATGGTAACTTCAGAAACCCTTGTCACACCCGTGAGCCAGTCCCCTAGTTCTTTTCAACCCTCAGTCACCTGGGAGAGCTCCATCAAAATATCAGGCCCTTGCCATGCTTAGGGAGAAAATGCCATATCTGCTTCGCACAGCAGCCCAATACACATGATTCTGATGCTTTACCTGTGTGCCCTCCTTGAGCATCGGGAGGTACTGTGAGGTCACATCCTTTCCTCAGTCAAGGAATAAGGCTGCAGATTGGGGCAGCTCCACTGTTACTTAGCACATGTAGTGCCCACAGCCCAGGAATAGAGGATCAAAAGGAGCTTCCTGCCCCACTGGAACCGCTTTGAATGAGAGATTTAGCAACATGTCAGTCACCTGTGTTAGTTGACTGTCTGCAGTCGCAGTACTTCCCTACCTGTTCTGCACAGGTAGACTCACCTGGTGAAGGCTTAACTTTCAGTCTCCTAGTCGTCACCTTGATCCTGGCTTCCTCAGAGACTCCCAGCTTCCTGAGCCCAGGGGCTTCCACGACGCCCTGGACTTTCTGCATCCTCAGGGTTCCTTCCCCTGCCTTGTGGCTGCTTGTGTAACTAGCTGGCTTCCCTCTGGACTGAGGCCACACCCGAGTCTGTCTTGTTAGCGCATTCCAGCATCTGGCAGAGCGCCTGGCACGTAGGAGGCACTGGGTACAAATTTGTTAACAAGGAGACTAATGAAGGCTGGGCTGAGGTGGGAACTGAGAAAATGCTGCATTATGTGCAATGGAATAAGAATAAGGCCTCAAACAGTTCCTAAGCTGAGGGTGTGGCTGGTAGACAGCTGGGGTTGGTCGTGGACACCAGTATAGACATCAGGAAATGGAACTGGTTTCAGGTGGATGGTGGTGTATTTAATTGCTGGCCTGGGCATATGGCAGAGTAGTAGAACACTTGCCTAGTGTCTGTAAGGCTCTGGATTTGGTCTCCGGCACCAAAAAAAAAAAAAAAGTGTGATTACAGGTTTTTTTGTTTGTTTGGTTTTTGGGTTTTTGTTTGCTTTTATTTTTTAGTATTTTCAGTTGTAGATGGACATGATACCTTTAGTGATTTTTTTTTTTGTATTTTTTATGTGGTGCTGAGGATCGAACCTAGTGCCTCCTACATGCTAGGCAAGTGCTCTGCCACTGAACCCCAGCCCCAGCCCACAGATAAATTTATTTTAAAGTACAGTTGGTTGGAGATGTACTCAAAGGTCTGTTGTGTATATAGTAGATTTCGGAGTTCTTCCCAGTGCTTACGCAGCCTTCGTGACTTTCCTGGAAGATAGTAAAGTTGTTGATTCCTGGGCACCAAGCAACATTCAGGAAATACATAACAAGTGGGCTTTTCACATTTGCCAATGAATTGAAACCAAGTTGTTCACCTTGGGTTGAGAAGGCAACTTACTACCATTAAAAGATCTTCCTTCTACCAAAAAAAAAAATTTTTTGTTAAACATTATTTAAGTTATACATTCTATTTAACCATTTATTCAAAATACATCTGTTGAGCTCCTACTATGTACCACATGTTTCCAAAAGCTTGGAATAAAATAATAAAACACAATGTTTGGCCTGAATCTGGTGGTGGGAATTACACAAAAACAAACCAAATTTATTTATTTATGTCAAGTAGTGATAAGTTCTATAGATAAAAACAAAGCAGAAAGATAATTTAGATGTACAGTCCTTTATTCAAAATCCCCGGGGCCAGATGTCTTTCAATCTTTGGAGTTTAGGAAGGTAGCATGGTATGCATACTGTCTGTCAGCGTCACTGGTGCTGTCTGCACCAGGACTTCATGATAAACATTCCAGAAACAGCCTTATGCTGTTTTTGCTACCTAATGAATTAAGATCAAATTTTGCTGCCAAATGAATGAATCTTAACAGACGACTTCAAAGTCATTTTAAGTTGCCTTTAAATGTTCAGAGCCAACACCAGAGTTGTCACTATCATTAGAAAGCATAGAGGAGCTAAACAAGGTACCCAGAAGCCCAGGTCCCCAGCTCCAGCACCCATACCCCCAAGCACCATGTAGTGTAGTGAGGATCATGGTAGGGCATGGGGCTGCATTAAATAGGAGAGTCAGGGAAGGCCTCACTGACCTGGGGACACTGAAGTGGAGTCCTCAAAGAAGAGACAGCACTGTGAGAGTAGACAGACTGCTGAGGGAAGAGGTCAGACGCTGGCGCTTGCTTTGTTTGAGAAACAGCAGAGTGAGTGCTGGCGCGTGATTGGGCAGGAGAGGTGACTTCAGAGTCTTCACTGGTGGCCAGGCTTTCACCTGCTGTGGGGCCAAGTTGCCACTGGCTTCTCCTAGGGTTCCTGAGGCTTTATTAGTCAGGGGTCTGTGGAGAACACTGATTGGAATAATTGAGTGCTTTTAAAGTACTTGTTCAGTGAGACATTCTAGAATAAGGTAGGGTTTTAATATAGTCAGTTTATCTTTTACTCAATTAGTGTTTCTCTCAACAGGGCAGTGCTGGCGTTTTGTTCAAAGTAATTCTTGGTTGTGCAAGATTGTCTCATGTATTCTAGTGTGTTTAATAACCACCTGGCCTCTACAAACTAAACACACCACATCCGGGTGGAAGTAAAAAAAAAAAAAAAAAAAGCCTCATCTACCTCTAAACATTTCTAGATTGTTTGCCCCGATGGATAATATTGGCATCTTCGAGGATAAGTGCAGAACTTGATAGGAAACTGACTTTCGCAGACTGCTGTCTTTCACATAATGTGCCTGCCTACTTCTAATCCAAATGAAGCGAGAGGCCTAGCAAAGCTAATAGAGTGGCAGGCAGATTATATTTTAAGAATTGGGCTTTAGTCAAAGCTAAACTAAATAATCAAAAACCATGTAAGTTTAACTTATTTTCTAACTTTTCTACTTCGATTTGTGTTACCAATCCATGTTTAATGTTCTTGTTTGGGATGAATAACTTCTTTCAAACAAAATTAAAACAAATTATCCAGCAGGGGTGTGTAAGAAACAAAACAGATAAGCAATATGAATTTTGACTTTTAACATAATAAATATTCTTTTCTAAATCTAAAGAAGTGTTGTCCCTCAAGATCACCTTTTGACACTAGGAATCCAACCAGAAATACTGCCATTACTTAAATTGTTTGGACTAGAATCTCCTTCAAAGTGAATTTATATGATATGTTAATGAATAGGTGTCATTTCTTTGATTTTTGGCCTTGGATTCTTTTTTTTTTTTTTTTCTGCTTTGTAGTAAGTGACCACAGACTAAAGGGCTTCAAATGATGCTGTGCTTTCTGTGGGTTAAGAGCCCAGTGAGCTGGTCCCCTTAGGATCTCACCAGGCTGAAATCAGAATGTCGACCAGGTCTGAGCTCATCCATGCTTGCTGGTTATTGGCAGAATTCAGTTGCGTGTAGCTGGAAGGCTGAGAATCCTGCTTTCTCATTGACTATCAACAGGCTGTCCCAGCGAGGAAGCTGCCCACAGAGCCACTCAGCATTGCTGTTTGCATCTTGAAAACCAGCAAGAGAATCAGGAAGGACACTGGCCCACCCAGGATTACTTCCATTTTGATTAGCTTAAAGTCACCTGATGATTAATCTAACAGTGTACATGAAATCTCATTCTAATAACAAATCTTGCTTACACTCAAGGAACAGGGTAATATAGGGCGGGGGCCCTATAAGGAGCTTGGGGACCATCTTCCAATGCTTCCACCCATAGGCCTTATTTGGTGTTCATAACCCAGAATGATTCATCCTCTTGTTCTCCCAACTTTGCCTTGAAATAATTTCTTATTGTTTCCAGAATGGAGGTTTATTTTCCATAGATAAGTAAAACTAGCCTTGAATATGCTCAAAAGAGTGGGCATCTGGCTCCCAAGGCAGTTGAACTTGGAGTGCAGCACTATTCTTTGTGTGGAGCCAAAGGAGGCAGCTTTTTTGATGTGAGGAGTAGCCCTGTAGCGGACCACACTGAAGAACTGTATTCTCTTGGGTGTGTGGAGTTGTTAATAGTCTAATAAAAGTTAGAGTTCCAAAAGATCTGCTTTCCTAACCCGGAAAAATCCATCAACTCAGAGGTGCACTTTGTAAGTCTCCTGTGCTGTGTGCACATATACCACCTGTTACTTCTCTACACATCCTCCTAATGCATGCTGGCTTCTGGTCACACAGAATTTGTTTTATCCAATTCATGGTTCACTAGTATGAAACATCTGGATTCTGAATTTCAGAGTTTATAATCTTATACAAATTTTTTTTTCATTTCTCATTTCTTTCTGTTACATACAAGTAAAGCATAATTTTTATTCTCCCTCATTATGTGTCATGATTGCAATTCTGACTGAAAGCATGCTTTGTAGATCCTGGGTCACGTTTTAGTGTATAGTTGCCATAGTTACCATACCACTGAGAATCATAGATCTGCACTGAAATCATTTTTAATGAAGTTTCTGTTTTATTGGACCATCTGCATTAAAAGGTTTTTTTTTCTACTTTAAGAGAAAATGAGCTTTATCATATTTCATTTCCAGCAAAGCACTCATCCTGACTTTGGGTGATTATTCACTTAATGTTTTGTGTTTCTGCCAGATAAATAAAGTGCCTAGTACAATACTTCGTCTATAGAGACTTAGCAAATTTCTAATGGATGAGTTAGAATCCCCTTAACTGCAGTTCATTTTTAAACTGCTTCTCAGATTTTAAATTTGTTTTTCTTTTTATACTATCTGGAACAATTATGCTTCTCCTGCAGGGTCACCTTAAGTGTCCCCCTTTGAATAAAACTTCAGGTCAACAGACAGAATTCCTGATTTTTTTCCTTTGTGTTCCTTTTACATCTTTGTTGGCCCTTTGATTCTCTTTGCTTGAGAACAGCTGCCTGGTCCTTTTCATCTTCATATCATGGGAAATGTGGTACTGCAGGTTTCATCATTGTACAGACCCTTGGAGTACTGACGTGAATCTTTATGGCACAGCGTGGTCAATCTACGTTGATCTCCGGACACAGGAGTTGTGGTGAATGAACACAGATACATGAGGCTGCTGTCACTTAACACAATATATTGCTTTCCAGTAACCTTTTTATTTTTAAATAAGCAGGAGTACATTCTAAAAAGTATAATATAGTTAAAACACAAGCCAGTATACATGATCATTAGTTACATTACCATTACCAGCTGTCACGTGCTATAATTAATTGCACATGCTGTGCTGTGACGCAGCTGGTGGTGGAGACGTGCTTACCCCAGCACCACCACAAGTATGAGTGGTACCTTGTGCCAGCTTTGCCACAGCCACAGCATCACTAGCTAATGAGATTTGTTCAGCTCCAGTATAATCCTCAAGGTCTACCATCTATATGTGGCCCATTATTGACTGAAATATTATCATACAGTGCCTCACTGTATTGAATGAGAGCCCTTTAAATGTTTTTCTTTGAAGTAGGTAACAGATTTATACAGTATTAAGAGGTATATAAAGGAAGTTTCTTTCCACTGCTGTGCCCAACCTCCATAGTCTTCAACTTAAAACCATAATTACCAGTTCTTGGGTTTGATAGCATTTAGCTCAAGAGCATTTTCAAGCTCAGGCTCCTCAAAGGTTGATAGGATCTGGCCAGCTAGCATATTGTTGAGGAAATAACCTGAGGCAGATCCAAGTCCCAATTTGGATTGCTACTTACTAGTTTTGCCACTTAAATTTCAGAAAACTCAATTATCATATGAACTTTTATATGATTTATGGAATGCTCTAAGGTGGAAGATGGAAAGTGTATGTTACCTATTAAATTGTATGATGTAGTTAATAGTTAATTGCTTAGTGTTTAGTGGCTCAGAGTCATTAGGCCTGTTGTAATTTACAAAAGCAACTCATATAGCCTTTATCTTTTTTGCATATATAACACATTGATGTTAACATTGATGATATGTAACTTAGATTTGTAGATACAGCCTTTTCTAAACTCAGTATGAGGTTAATTTGAAAGTTGG